TCATCTCAGTAACTCTGTAAAAAGTAAAAATCATTTTTCTCAGTTGAATTTTTCATGATTTTCTCGGCAGCGTTTGCAGTCTATTTCGAGCCATTTCAAGGTGAAACGCAATCATGATTGGACTCACAAATTGTTCTTTTTGTTTGGGTGGACCGATTTGGCCTCCAGCCAGACCCAAATTAGTGTCCAGCTTCCTGTTTCTTTTCTAATTTGCAAGTCTCTTCGCTGTTTTTGTGCTCTTTAATGTCTGGCGGCCAGAGATGAAGTCTTCTATGGATTTCTCCCACCTTTGGGAATTGGACATCTCTTGAACCATACTCTCTCAACCCTAAGAATACCTCTCCCCTCCCCCTCCCCCCTCCCCCTCCCCCTCCCAGCCTCTTTTTCCCCTTGCGTACCACTTCCCTCATTTACATATTCCCCTTTTTTGTCTTGTGCTGCTCTGTGTATGTGTGACATACACACAATAGATGCAACAATAACGCCACCATGTGTATTATTAGTCTTATACATGTAGAGGCATATATATACGCGACTTATTATTCAATCTCATCATCAGCATCTGAACCCAAAATCAGTCTCTTCTTTCTGGCTGTAGTTGCTAATTTTTGCTCCCCTCTTGGCCATTTCCCCTCACTTTTTCCCTCTGTGGGTAAGGTACTAACCCCTCTTTAAATTCACCCACATGTTTTAACGTCTCTCTGTCTTTATTGTCTGTATGGCTACTGGCTGCTGTGTGCCATATTAGCCCGACCCGGGTCTTAAGTATCCCAGGCATAGGGCAACTCATGTTATCTTCTCCTCTGCTCTTACGTACCTCTTTCGCTCGTTCACTTTAATTCTAATTTCTATTCACCACATCACACGCCCCGCCAATTCAACCTTCTCTTCATCTTCATCTCTCGTTTCTTTTCATTCTCTTCCATCAAATCCAAATTACCCAAAGCACAGCCGCCATCCGCCTGCTTGCTCTACTTATAATTTACACATTACAGAAGAGGCAAAAGTGAAAAAGAGTACACTAAATTAACCCGCTGATGCCAACTTCGACCGCCTTTAGTTACCTATTATCTACCCAGTTTAAACCCGGTCTTTACCAACCGGCGTCGCCTGTGCAAACTTTTCACATTCCTTTTATCTTGTGCAGTGGTGGTATCATACGCAATCCATCCACGTAGAAAAATTTCATATGGGTAGATTTATGCCCCCATTTTCTCAATGGGAGATTGTCTCCTATTTCACCTTTACTCTGGGTTTTTTTTTATCATATCGCTAACTTTCTGCGCCCTAAGTCATTTATGAACAAACACTTTGATCAATCTCCTGATATTATCCGCGGGACCAAATTATCACCATAATACCACCACCTGAAGTCAATTATACCGAATTTTCCCAATTGTACCGGCTCACAATTTCTTACCGAGGAAAAATCTTGAAAAATTTTGATTTTTTTAAACATATAACTTTTCTCATACAACTTAAATTAGAGTAGTTAAAGTACTGAGTTCCGTTTTCCCCGCTGGAAACATCCATCGTTACTTACTTATTCCGTAGTTTCGGGGAACTGCTAATTGATCAGGTAATTCGATTAATGGGGCCCATTTTTCTCTCGGAAACAATTAGCCCGTCCCTCCATTAGAACCCATAGCCCAGCTTGCGGTAAGCCCACCCCCTGCCTATGCGGTCCAATTTCTCCAAGACGGGACTCTATTTAACTCTTTCGCAGCGGAAATCCATTAAACAAATGTTTGCTTATGTCAATTTATCATTTCATTACTTCCAACATAGCAGTTGTTTTCTCAAAGATGTGCCGCATTTTAAATTAAACTCCAATATTGTGCCTCATTTTTAGAATTTATTCAGCGATTGATTGACTAAGTCACAATTATAGATTGAAGCCTTTGGATCGTGGCTGAATGAAAAGTGCGAAATTTATCCGATGTCAATTGAAATTATTTAATGTTATCCGAAGACCTACAATCACCATTTGATTTATAACATTTCCATTAAATCTTTGCAGCTTTCTCCTTATTTTCGCAAAATAGGCCCAAAAACCCGGCAGAAGACCCAATTTAAAGACATTAATAATTGAGTAAGTTACAAATTCAGTTACTCAGTTCCAATAAGTCGCTGAGATCGTGCGGAATTAATCTGAAATTGCAGCCTATTCCTTGTATTTATCTTATCTTTCGTGTTCCTGAGTTGTATATTGCTGGTCCTGATTTCGAGACTGCAGGGGAAGGAAAACTTCTTAAAAGCAGCAATTATCTGATATATTTCATTTCAGCTCAGTGAAATTGTAACTGTTACTCTCTTCTCTTATTTCTCGCAAAAAGTATTCAGACTTAATCCTTTTCCTTATCCCGATATAACGCGAGGAACGGCGGAGTCACTTGACTAAAAATCAATTTCGTTCATTTATTAAACATCAGCTTCGCTTTTTTTGTTTTTAAAAAGTCAAATTATCCAATTTTATGCTTTTTTCGTTGGTTTTAATCTTACCACTTTTTACGGTTTCTAAGTTTTAACCATTTTTGGAGACAAGAAACACCCAAAATTCTTGGCGACATTTGTTGAATTCCAGCTGTGAGCTGCGGAGTTCTGCTGTTTCAGGAGCTTTGATGCTCAACTATTGAGAGCTTTTGTTGTGCTCTTGAAATGATATTTAATATTTAACAAATGAATATCGAAAATAAAAATTGATAACAGCCCTTTTATACTAATGAGCCAAGTTGTTCTTAGATGTTTAAATCGATATTTCTCAATGAAAACAAATTTCTCGGCAACTGTTTAGCCTTAGTTAGCGCTCTTGTAAGATGACGACGACAGACTCTGGCCTAGATCATGAATTCTGGTTCTTCTGGACGTTTATTAAGTGATTTCTCATCTGATTCACTGAAGTTTACTCTTACTTTTATCGTTTTATCGTATCTCTTCGAGTTCACTATAAATTGCAACGTAAAATGCATAAATTTACACCCGCATTTTAGCATTTGTTATTTGTTGTTACGATAAGTGAACAGCGCGCAATTTACATGCTTTTACTTCTCAACAACTTTATCAACAAAAGTTAAACAAAATTTTGTTTTATTTTACGTGTTCAAAATTATTGTAAAATATTCATCCTTTCCAAAAATATCTCCATGAGATCCAAAATTCCGATGAACTTTTCGCCGAGTTCAAAGTTTTTCATGCGTTAACTAAGTTAAAAGGTCTAAAATGTGTGAACGAATAGCGATGAGTTCTGATCCAATTTTGCCAGGTATTTTTCCGGCCGATTAACTTGATTAGATTATCCCAGAAGATTTAGCACCGTGGGACTATTTCCTGTTTCCGTCCCCTCACTTTCTAACAAGTCCCCCTATATTCTCATTTTAATCCCCCCGATAAAGTCATTATTTCTTATATTTTTTTCAGAAGTTGAAAGAGCGATAGACAACGCCCTGTTTTTCACACTCTGGTGATAGACAACTCTTTTTGCTCAGCTGTGAAATTAATTTTTTTGGTTCTTAAAGCTTCCCATTTTCCCAGTTCATTCCAACGAATAATCAACTTGATTCCATTCTCACATTCTCAATTTCCGCATCTGAATTACTCAGTTGAAGAATTATTTATAACCCTTAGCAGTCTAGTCTTATTTATAACCCTACCTTAGTAGTCTTAAAAGTCCTAGAGTACCTTCACTTTTTGTAAGAGTATACACCTTAGAAATTTAGATCAGGCTATTTTTGAGGCGATTTTAACTTGATTGTTCCGCCCGGCCGATTTAAATTTCCTTCAGTTTAGCTTTGCATTAAAGTTAACCTTTCCTTTATATTAACTTACTTTACTCCTGCTCTAACTTTTTATATCCCTTGTAAAGTGGTGTGGTGATAATTTCCGCAACCCTATAAAGATCTTCAGCGAGGATATTAGACAAAAGAGCCTAAAATTGACACTATTTTACTATCTGTCAACTATTGCTTGCCACATACGTTACGTACCATAGTTAAGTTGAGTTTAGTTCGAGTGTTGATGATTAATACCTCTTGCTGCTGACCATCTTATCTTACTCTCCTTTGTACAATCTCTACCCTTTGAGTTTGTATCAAATTTGTCACTCGAGCTGTCAAACATCAAAACACTGAATTGTGAAATGTCTTGTCCTTCGTTTGAGTACCTCAAACATTACTTATTGTTCGCAAAATCTCAGCCCTCAAACGCCAATGCCGTCTAAGACCGAACCAGTTATAATTTATTAAACTAGTTAAACTACCTTTACTTCAACCGAGTGTTCTCTCGCTAATAATAAGCGAAGGGATTTAGATATTCTCCCAAGTTTTATAGATCGCTTCAGGCAGTTGTTTGTGTTTTTTCCTACATTCTAAATCCATCCCTAATCCCCCCCAAACCACGTTGCCAACAACTGGGAATCTTTCCAGCCTGAGACACAGACCAGAAACTCCAACATTCCCACAAATTGCGAAAGTTAGCGCGCGACTGTTTGTTACTTAACCCGTTTAAGAGGGTTCCTTTGTGCGGTTGATTATCAAATCAAATAGAATTGGTTTTTGAACAACACTTAAATTGTCAATACAATCTCACAGTTAAGCTACATACCTAATAAAGTCCATACTACTGCCTATCCTGTGGTGTGCTGTAGATATATTCAACTTACCATTCAAAACTTAATTTTCCGTTTCTTACTTAAACTTAGTTTTACTAATTTAGAAGTTAGTATCCTGTAATTATAAAGAAAAAAGTTTGCAAATGGGTGGTCGCAGAAATAGTTCGTGTCTTTTCCCTCTAAACGACTTTGACATTCCAATGGCGCAATCACATACGTCACCGGCACTGGCGACTTACTTGAACCTGCCGCAGACAAGTTTCGTACCGGCGCCGCCCCTGCCACCCCCTCACGCACCGCTTCCGCCACATAACTTCGCCGGCTATGACGACAACTTTAACCTCAGAGGGCCTCCGTTTTACATAATGCCTCACCCTAGTTATTTTTACAACAGCGCCAGCAGGTACGGCCACAACGGGGCTGCCCCTGGATATCAGCTGCACAGGCCCAACTCCATGCACGACTACCAACCCCTCGCGCCCTTTCAAGACGGCAACGGGGCCGTGCACATGCAAGCTATGGGCACAATGGGGGCACCTATGGCCATGGGGGGCTCCAGTGGGGGTCCGAAGGGGGGCATGTATGAGGGACAGGAGGAGGGACTGCAGGGGGAGGGGTGGTGTGTGAACTGGAAGTGCATCATCACCCTCATGTGCATCTTCACTCTTCTACTTCTCAGTCTTCTATCCTTAATTGGTCAGTCTAAATTATTCTATTCTAATTCTACCAACACAATTTCTCAATGTAATTTTAATTAAATTAATCAGAGAGCTTAAGAATTTAAGTTAGCAATATTTTAAGCTGCTAACGAATGCTCTGTAAAAGGCCACTGTTATGATTTATTTACTACGTTATTAATTAGCCGGATAGGAATACAAATATGAAATGACTCGGTTTTTTTTTTAGAAAATGTAGGTTATGACTGTTGTTTGTTTGTTTCAGCAATCAAATTCTACTTCGCAAATACAGACAACCTTGGAAATGGTGGCAATAACGACAACAGTGAGTTACATTCCAGTTTGTATATATAAAAAAAAACTGTCATAAAATATCATCTAATTGGTACGTTTTGCAGGTGTAATCGAACTGGATGATTACATTGGGAAGTCATTGGAAATCTCGGTAGCGCCTAAGAGTAGCCGAATGCTGAGTATCTACGCCATGGGTCCCAGCTTACTCACTCTACACATCAAAACCTCATCATCACGTCTCATCATTTACGGTCTAGAAGGTGCAGAGCCACATACCACTAACTTCTCATTTGTTCACGCTCTCAGCTCATCCACGCCCCAGTTCAACTCAAACAGCAAAGTGGTCTACACAAGTGCTTTTTCAAGCGAAGACATGAAAACAGTCTACCAGTATCTAAGCAACGGCAAATGGTACATTAGAATCATAAATGATGTCTCAAGTTACGAAGTGTTGGATATTCTCACCAAAATAGTTGACCAACGCTCAAAATGTCCTAAAGATTGCAACAACCCGCAGGGCGAGTGCAATGCTATGGGTTACTGCGTGTGCTCTGAGCAGTATAGAGGAAGGTTATGTGAGAAGCCAGCTCTTAACTGTGGATCCCACGGACGTATGGTTAGAGTAGGAACCCTGAGAAACGGGTTCACGCAGGCATGCAAGTGCGATCCCGGATGGACGGGTAGTCTATGCGATCAGAGCGAAACCGGATGTTACCCTCCTGACTGTTCTGGCAACGGGCAGTGTGTGTTCGGAACGTGCCAGTGCAACCCTGGATTTTCAGGAGATACCTGCAACCGAAGTTAGTATATAAGAAATCACATTCAAAATTTTACCCTGTTTTTATTCGCTGAAGAGGCTGAGGGTTTTTGTAAAAGACTTCTTTGCTGATTGCGACCATTTGTTCCTTATTTATTCAGCTCTTAAGGGCAACCGGGAGTTGATGATATATTTTTTTCTAATTTTGAACTTATGCTTTCAGCGTTCTGTGACAATCGATGCAGTGACCGTGGACTCTGTATTGATGGGATGTGTATGTGTGCTGTTGGCTACTCGGGAGAAAACTGCGAAGTAGAATCACCTGACATCGTGCAATGTGCAAAGACATGCAACCATGGATCATGTATGTATGGAAAATGCGAGTGCGACAAAGGGTTCCGAGGATCCACGTGTAGCCAAGCTGTATGTGAAGATAACTGCAATGGCAATGGCCAATGCGTCTCAGATCTGAACTCTCAATGGTACTGCAGTTGCAATCCAGACTTCAGCGGTCCAAATTGTGAACTGAAAACAGAGCCCTCGTGCGTCGATATTTGCAAGAGCAACCAGGCATGTTGCAAGGCCGACGGGTCCTGTCTGACTGGCGAAAACAGACCGAAGGCTTGTAAAGTAGGCCAGAGTTTTGTAAACAGCGCTGCAGGTGATTCTCAATTTAGTCACCGAACTTCGTTCTTGGAGAAAGTTTCGTTTCTCTATAGCGAACAAACTAACGCGAAACAGATTCCGTTTGCCTTTAAGAGTCGAGATTACGTGTTCGTTGTAAGAGGCCAAGTGCTCATTGGGCCCAATCAACCTTATCTGGGCGCTACTTTGTCTGTACAGGGCGAGGAAGAGGAGTTTGGGTTTGCAAGTACCCAATTTGACGGATGGTTCGATTTAATGGTCGCTACGAATTCTAGTCATATCGCACTGCAAGTAACCTACACTGGAACCCAGTCTGGTCTAGAGGAAACAAAAATTGTGAAACTGCAATCGAAAAACGAAGAAATGATCACATTGTTGAATTCAATCATAGTTGGCGCTGGATTGAAAGAGAACTCAAGAATGAGAAGAGACCTTTCTGGTTGCAGTGTGGACAAGTTGCCGAAACATATGAAATCAATGTCACATTTCACACAGTTCACAGCTGTGCAGAATAAATTCAACGAAGGAGCGGTGCTGAGTCAAAACGTGAGTTCATTGTTTGCCTTTGAAAAAAAAACAACGGGTTGTTTCAGGGGCGGGTTTAGAGTAGGTAGTGTAAGGGACTGGTTGCCTCGGTTGATTTTCAAAAATGCACCATGTCACCACCCAGCATGTCTCCTTTATCTACATTTAATTACTTTTTTGTGCGAGAACATTTGGGGTAATAATTTTGCAAAAAAACTCTTGATTTGCAATACATCGAGTGACCACAGAATGTTTTAGTTTTTCAGCAAAAAAACTACTGACGGTTAAAATATGAAACATCAAAACTCACTGATACCGGTGAAAAATCATAGAAGCTTTTCTGGCGCTGATTAATTCCTTCTAACTGAAAAATTGGAAACTGTGTTTCTCAATTCGGATGATGATGATATTTTGTTTCAGTTGGTGACACAATCATTCTCACCAGGAGAAAATTTCCCTACAATGGTATTCAACAGCAATTCACAGGGAGCCAGAACTATCACGCTCTATCTCGGAGACTTCTCCATGTCCAATGTAACATCTGTGCACGTGACTGTCTCAGTAGCCGGAGTTGTTTTCCAGGAAACCCTGGACAACAACAAGAACGATCTCTTCATGGAGCTGTTTTGGAACAAGACTGATGTTTACGGGAACAAGGTCTACGGATTGACTGAGGTTCAAGCTATGATTGAAGTCTCTCTGTTGGGTTGTTCCGAAAAATTCTGGGTCACTTCGATTCGATCTGAAGTTGAGGGTCTATCGTGCCACGACTCCATTTCGTACCAACATCATTATTGCTTGACGAAAGGAGACTCACTTTACACGGGAAGAGGACACGCATTTCATTTGTCGAAGTACCCGCCTGTCATGCGACATATGCAGTGTCTCAACCCACCCAAAGTAATCGAATCATTGCCCAACGGCGACCTTTTAATCGGAGACAATACCCAAATTTTTCACGTCAGAGGTGGCAAAATTGGCAACCGATGTGAGCTGAATTACGCCGTTTATTCGTTCGGGTCATCTGGGATTTCAGATGACGTCGAGTATTTCATAGCAGTTGACTCTTCCTCGGAATTTTTCTATCTGTCCAGAACTGATTCGCCTGTGATCACCAAAGTGTTCATAAAGAGTAGGACAGAACAGGTGGTGCTAGGGAAACAAGGAGAGTACTGCACAGATGGAATTCACAACTGCAAGGACACTCTCAAGTCGCCAAAAGGTAAGGAGTTTTTTGTTTTCTTTCACAAACCATTACAGCAGACCAGGCTAAATCCGCAAAGAAGAAACCTTGATACGAAACAATCCAAGGGTGTATGCCAGATTTTTCGCTCTGACCACTGAAAGTGGGGAGGAACTTTGTATTCGGGTGTTTAAGTTTTTTTCAAGTTTGTTATCCACGCAAAACCTACGCAAATTTTCCCAATGTTGAGAAAAACGGTTTGAATTTTTCGTCGAATTTCGAGCGAGCGAAGAGACTTCCAAATAGCTACTTATGCTTAATTTAAGCCGTAAAAACAAAACTTAGTTTTACTCCAGTAAAAAAATTTTGGAGTGTTTTTGGCTCCATTTTAGGAATCAAAAACTTCAAATATTCAAAAAATTTCTGCAAAAAAATTTGATTTTTTTAAAATGTTTTTTGTTTGTTTTTCTAGTCCTTTTTTTCAAAACGCGTTGTCCAATTTGCTTATTTAACTATGAATTTCGAATTTGCCTAGTTTCTAGTTTTTTGTTCTGGTCTTTTAAACCTCTGATTTGAAAAAAAAACTTTTTAAAAATTTTTTTAAGACTATTGTCGGGACATTCTGTGCTATTTGCACAGTAACCGGCTATCCTTGTTTTTTTTTGTTTTTCGATTAACTTTTTGATGAAAACCGTTGTCAATTATGCGTTTTCCACTCTTACTATCGAATTTACTGGGCTTTCGTTCAGATCCGCTCATAGCCAAACGAACCAATTATGTAACAATTTACAAAAAAAAGTTTTCTTCTGGTCGGAACGTTCTGTGCTACTTGCACAGCAGCCGGCTCTCCTTGTTTATTTTTGCGGTACAATTATTTTTGAGTTTGGGAAGAAATTTTTGGTCTTTTGATTCGCCTTCCAAATGGATGCTCACAACTACCTGGTTTTCCCTTTTTTGATTTTTTTTTGCTCCTACGTTTTTGACCGAAGATTTAATTGTGGTTTAATTGATTCTAGGAATGACGATACTGCAAAACAGTACGTTGGTCTTCGTGGACGGATTGTCGCTCCGAAGTTGGACTCCTGAGTCCTCTGAAGACATCCACACTCTCTGGACTCCCTCGTCTTCCGACTTCTCCCGAAATCACGAGACATGCGCTGAAATTCCCTCATCACAAGTTTTCCTATCCCAGTTGAAAGATGTATTCTTCAGTCCCCTAGACGAAACATACATTCTTTTTGACTACAGTCGCGCAGTTGTGAAGTTGAACTTAAGAACCAGTCGAGTTTCATACCTGGCTTCACGATCCAATTTGAACTGCAAGCATATGAACCAGCAATCGGTCGCTAGAGTTTACTACCCTTGCTCTGTTACTGTGAACAGCAAGGGTTCTCTTTTTGTAGCTGACTCGGACCCTCTTAACAAGCGTACTGTCGTTTTTGAGGTTTCTCAAAATAATCTTTGGAGTGAGTTTTGGCATTCCGATCAAATGCAAATTATGTCTGCGATGACAGTAAGCACCAATAATACTCTGCTCATGATTAATGACGGAGAGAAGCGCGTTGATATTTTGGGACAGTACAAGATAATTCCTGAAAAACCAAATCAATTTCAGTTAACTGATTTCGAAAACAGTAGAATCGTACACTTTGATGAGAAGTTTCTTCATGTGAGATCGGAAAGCTTGGCGACGACAGAGTTTACAGATGAGTATTTTTCGTATAACTCGGATACCACTTCACTGCGAAGTTTTGTCATCCGTGCTGCTGGGTCACCGTTAGCAATGGGATCCAAGGCTAATGAGTTCTGGAGTGTCCAAAAGGGTTTAGAGTCTCGAGATTGCTCAATATGGCAGCAAAGCGTCTGGAATCGAGTCAAATTCGATAGCCATTCAATGCTGAGTGAGGTTGACAGTGTGAAGATTGATAGAAGTTTGGCTATGCTGAATGGTCAGTTGGTTCAATGGTACACTACTAAGATGACAGACGGACAAGGCAATAGACAGTTGCAGAGCAGTTGTATGATCAAGCAGTTCCAAACTGGATACTCGACAATGTGTTCAGGTAGGTTATCATTTGAGCTATTCTCATTGTTCTATTGCATAAAAACATTATTATTCAAACTTGAAGTACATTATTCTACTGTCTTTTTAAAATTTATATCTAAGTGGAATCTTGCTATCGAAGACCTACTGCAGCATCTCAATATTTTGCACTTTTAAGGTTTTAGTTTATCTGTATAGAATTTATAAACATTGAATTTTTCTGCAGATGGATCAAACTATGGTCAGTTCTCTTCATTCGAGAGTCACCCCGACGGGCATGAGTCTCTGACACTACACGACGGCTCCTCGTTCTCTCTTACCTCTGCTCTGCCGGGACTCTCCTCCGATTTCTTTTTCGCCACCTCTGGAAACAAGTTCTCAATAGACTACGCGTCTAAAAGCAGAAATAGCGTATACGGCATGCAGCTGAGCTTGCACAAACCCGGTTACGCAATGTCATCTACCCCGTATAATGATGTCATTCTGGAGAAGTTATTCAGAAGTGATAGAAGCATGGTCACATTTGGCAAGATGAAGGAGCCATCTCTGCAGTTCAACATAGCGAAACAAACTATGCTGCCTTCAGAGGTGAGTTTTGCTAATTCAAGTCAATTTCAGGCTTAAACAAAAATGTCATGTAAATTGAAAATTATTAAAGCCGATTTAAAGTTTTGACATTTTTTTTATATCAACTGACATTTTGAATGTCAGTCGACAAAATATCATAAAATTCCTGGTTAACTAAACAAATTATTTTTATCAGGCTCAAAATTATCATGGAATTCCTCGAAATATTTCTCAAACTGACTTTTGAATTTCAGGTTGTGTTCCAAAATGGGCGCGATGTGCGCAGTCACAAGTTGACCTTCAACTCCGCTCGCCAGTTGACCTCTATCAAAACATCTGACCAGTCTAACCTGTTCGACGCCAAGTATGACTCAGGCCTGTCTGTCATCAATGCCCTGCAGTACCGGGTCAACCCAAACAAAAATAGCCTCGAGGTAAAGCATACGTCTGTTCGCTGTTTTCGTAAAATGATCAAAAAAATAAAAGTTGATTAAGCAAAATTACAAATATTGATTAGATTTTCAAACAATAGCCGAGAGCTATAAAAAGAAACGTTCTTGCCGTATACCGATAAAAGTCTTCCGTTTTTGGAAGGCTCGTTGATATTTTTTATATAACAGACATTTAAGTTGCATTTTAGCTGAAACCTAGACTGTTTTGTATTATATAGTAAATTATGGAATCATTATCATCCTGTTTGTTTTTTGCTCAAGGTTTCTCCTATGGGCGAAGCGGACGGTGGTCATAAGTCTCTCAATCTCTACACCATCGAATACGACTCAACGGGTAAATTTGAACTCTCCTCGCGAATCGACAACTCCGCCCAGAAGCACTCCGTGTTCTCCCTCTGCGACTCCTCCGGAACCCCCACGACTTCTATCTTCAACATCTTCTCATCAAAGTATGCTTACAAGACGCTCTACAACACCTCAACTATGTCTATTGAAACAGTCGACGGTATGAAAAACTCGGCAAAGATTGGCTTTGATTCGGCCAATAGAGTTAGAACTGTCTCGTACACAGATACCGAAGTTGTAGTTTCGTATCCTCCGTTCTCAAAGAACCCAAATAAGTTCGCAAAAACGGTAAAGTCGTTCCCGACCATGTCTTTTGCTAGCAACAGTTATACCTCAAATTGGACCATTAATCGAGTAACAGGATCTAAATGGTTACGATCAACGTTCGACAAAAAGTCTCAGATCCTTTCTATCAGTCTTAGGCAGCAATGGGGCGCCTCCGTTGAGCTTGTGAGCACATACACGCCTCTTAAACTCAAGTCATCCTTTTTATCAGCTGATTCTGCATTGCTCTCTTTGACGCTCACAGATGGCAAGGGCTTAGACGTGGTGCAAGTCTCGAACAAAAGCGAATTTGGTTTCAATGAGAAATTCGGTCCGAATAAATACCACCAAACTACTTTCAATTACAACGATAGGGAACTATTACAAACCACAGTGCGTGAAAACGAAAAAGATGGAACATATTCTTTCTCAGTAAGAGCAAATAACGATGATCAGGAGAAGGAAACGCTTTCGTACCCAGTTTCAGTTAACTCAGTGGAAGGCTGTGGCAAAGTCATTCACGATCCAATCATTGACCAATATTTGAAGGTTGAAAACTGTCGTTCTACAATGATTATTTCGGGAAAAACTTCATTTCAAGTTCAAAAGACATTTGCGCTAGACGGTCGTTTGGAGTCTATCAAATCTGGAACCGGAAAGCTGTCTGACCACGTGAATCTCAAATTCAACAATAATGGCTTCATCTCTGAGCTTGGCGACAGAAAGTTCTCTTACAATCCTATTGGTCAATTAATCAAAGCTGAAAAGACCGATTTTTCTGTTGAGTACGTTTATGACGTAATTGGTAGAATGGTGTCTAGACACATGACATCATCAAGTAGTGGAAGTGTAGACCACGCGTTCTTTTATCTCGACGTCAAGAACCCTGAAAAGATTTCTCACATTCTCGTGGCCGACAAGGATGATTCTCCTAAAGTCTATGAAATGTATTACGATAACAGAGGTAATTTAGTTCTAGTCAAAGAGAAAGAAAACAGTTACATAGTGTCCAGTAACCCCATGGGAACCGTCATAGAGTTAAAACGAATTGACAGGGGTGCCTCAAAGGCTTCCTCCGAAGAGTTTCCACCTGGACTGCACTTGAGTCTGTCTGGATCCTGGATGGATGAGCAAATGAACCTAGTTTATTTAAACAAGCGCTTCTTTGATCTGCTCATACATTCTTACTTGGATCTGGATACTAGCTTCCTAGAAAGTGCAATTGTGTCACCATACTCTACGCAGTTTACCCAATACATCAACGATCCTCCCTCTTTCTGGCCTAAGCACCATCTATCTGAAATTGGTAAGGACTGGCCACTTTTCGATTTTTCTTATATTAATTTTTATTGATACCATGTCAACTGGTCAAAAAGTAAAAAGTTAAGTGGTGAGAAACTTGAAGTTTTGATCTTTTCAGGTGCATTCGCTACATACATGCCAGAAGTGTGGTACAACGAGACGCTTCAGAATCTTCTAATTGAATTGCAGAAAATTAAAACTGCGGTTAGTTTTTCCAACCATCCTCCAATTTATTCTTTACACTTAAAAATAATTGAGGAAAGCGCTGCGATTGATTCAGTCGGTGTTCTAGAACTATTGACACAGGAACCAAATTATTTAGTGTATTTATAATTTTCAAAGTTACAGAAAATTTTGTTCCAATTTGTACTGAATATTCGACAACAGTTTTTGAAGTTTTTGTAGTTTTATTAAATTAGTTATTTTTTTGCAGGATGGAACAATTCAGATGATTCCGTCGCTCTCTTCATTCTCAGACATGTTCGACCGTCTCTTCTCCACCCCACTGGACGCCAATATACCCTCAATTCAATCTCTCCCCTTCCTGCAAGTGCCCCAGATGCCGTCGAATCACCTACTACCAAACCAGTTCCTGCTGCCACCGTTCAACCGCGTGTTGGACCAAACACTCACCACCACTCTATAGTTTTAACTCCCCCACCTATTACAAACCAGTGACACAGAGGAGGGGTGTAAGACTTGCCACTTGCCTTGCAGAAACTCTATCGGTGCTATTTTCTATGAACCCTCACTCTACCTTACAAGTCATACTGGAAGAATTAGAACGAAGCTCATGTGGAAGAACACTTTTGTGCCGTAAGCAGCAAGCACATGAACTCATTCGGAAACTTAATTTAATTCGCTTTTGATGAAAGCAGCCATCAGCTTCCGGAAGCTGTGCTTTAATTTGTATGCAGTAAATTTTCATTCTTTTAATTCGTGTTTTATTTCCGTTTTTTATCATATTTCAGTTTGCTAAATTTTTTATACTTACTTCAACTCGATTTTAGAGTATCATCAGTTTTTAAACACTTTTCCTGTCCGATAGTGGCGTTTACATTTTTCACTTTTCCTGTCATATAGTGCCAGTTCCCCATTTCAAATTCAATTTTGAACAGCTTATTTACACAAGCAATGCTTGTCTTATAGTTTGAATTATCTTTTTTTCCAACCGAAGTCGCAAATATTGTTGCGACGGAAATATTGTTTCGATAAAATGTGTTCATTTCAATCAATAACCAGCAGTTAAGTACAGCCAATGCAGACTATTCGACTGTTTAAAAAGCCATTTTTGACGGGATTTTTTTATATTATTCAAAAAGTATTGTTGTACTGAGCTTAAGTTTAGAAAGATATTTCCCCTGTGGTCATTTTTTGTTAAGTTATGGGGGTATAAAAATTGCCATTTTTCCCAATTTGAGACAATTGACGTGCCATAATTGATTTGTTACTAGGAGCAAAATTTATCACTTCGTACTTAATATGGCGTGTGGCTGATGACTTTTGTAAATCTCAAAAAAAAATTTAATTTTTTTCTGCTCCAAAAAATATTTTATTCTTGTTATTACTGCTCCATAGACTTCTCTATAAATTGAGGCATGTTAGTTGGTAAATTTTTTTTTTCAAGTTGAGTGGTTCTGCTAATGCGTCATAATTGGCGTGTGTCACTTAAGAAATTTTGTAGACTCAAAGTTTTACTCATTCAGTCATATTTTTGCTTGTGTATGCGAAGTGCCGCCTCTGAGTTAACGTTTGTCATAATGCATTGAAAATTGGCCGGTTGAACAAACCGACAACTGTGAATAGATTTGTTCTTCATACTTGACATTGTAATATCACGCATTTAGCCGTAATAACACGCAAAACAAACATAAAAATCGACATTTTGAAAGTTGGCGGGAAGTGGAAAGAGCCTGGCGTTTGTCTTCTTTTATCTTTTTAACAATGGAAATGAACTGAACCTGAAAAGAAAAGAAAACCACACCTCAATAAATTAAATTTGTCCTGAAAAAAGTATTGTCACGACAATTGTTTTTATAATAATAGTCGATGCACATAATTCAGAGTCTTGTATAAGTCGTGATGATACTTTTTTCAGGAGGATTTTTTAAAAAAATTTTGCACTCAAAAAATATTTATGGTGACTTATGTTTTCTTTTCAAGATCAATTAATTTCCATTGCTAAAAATAAGACAAACTCCACTATCGGACAGGTCAGATTACTTTTATTGACTATTAGTTAAAAAAGCTATCTGACCGAAAGAAAAATGTCGGAAAAACCTGAAATAAGATGGGATACTTTGGAAACTTTTTCAAAGAAAAAATATGGTTTTTTTTTACTAATTCAGAGCTATTATTGGTTTTCCTTTCAGCAAATAAATCCAGCTAAATCAACTGAAAACTCCGTTCTTTTACACAAAAAAAAACTATTTTGTCACACCGTCGTATCATGGTTAGTAAATAAAACAAAAATTAGGGAAAATTACCTGAATAAGAAGTTAGGTGAAAACTAAATTAGTTGATTTTCATTTAAGCACGAAAATTAACCTATAATTTTAAAGATTGTTTTTTTTTCATTAAAAACTTAAGACAATTGACAGTTGGACAATAAGTCAACAGCGCAATTATCCAGAAAAAAACAGTGACTTGCCTTTCGAAAAAACTACAATTTTCGAATTTCAAAGAACAAAATGAAAGCTTTCAAGTTCTTTAAATTTCAACAAAAATTTAAGATACACTTTTTGATGAAATTAACACAGTTTGGGAAAGCTTGATAAAAAGGTTAATTTTTTATTCCGCTAGAAAATCTGAAAATAAATATCCACTTTCGAAACTTGAAGCCAATCATGGTTTTTGTCCAATTTGTTTTTTTTCTGTTTGATTGTAGAGTTTGCCTTTTTTTTCAAAACAGGAGATTAAATGAAGTTAAAAGAGACAAAAAGTCAAACCGCAAAAAAAAATCAAATCTTATCCTAAACAATTTATAATACTTTTTCGTTAAAAAAAAACAAAGTGACCATGAACTTTATCAGACTATTCTCTACGTTCAATGACTCTTAATCAACAAGACTGCATGGTCCGTCCAAAACATCAATCATCTTAGAAATTTCATATTTCGATAAAATTTTAATTATTTTTTGGACTATTTTAAATTGCTCCCTCAAAACTGTTATTTTTTCCCTTTTTTTTGTTAAACGTTGAAACAAAAATCAATTCATATTCGGTGCTACTAGCACAACCAATTTCGGCTCTTGGAACAATCTGGGCTACTAACGCAGAAGCTGGCTATCTTTTGGAAGTTTTAAAGGCAATTAAATTGTCAGAGCTCATTTTCTGCGGCCAAAAACTGGTCGGAATATTCTCCGGTATGACAGCTAGACACTTTTTGAAGAGTCTGGGGGCGTAAACATAACTTTTTATTGTTTTCGAACATTCGACTCATTTTTACAATGGTATTTACGTCTATATCGATTTGTTACTTTACATAATTTATCTATCTAAAATAAAACATTTGCATGTTCTAAAGATCTGAAGATGCATAAATAATATTAGCTCCAATCATTGCTAATCAAACAAATCAAACGAGTTCAACTGTAATATTTCCGATAATTGCCAAGATGTCGTTTCCGACTGTCTGTCGTGGTAGCTCCGAGTTCCCCTTCTTTTTATCTGATTTTGTCTTGAGTTTTTTTCTAGTCCCCAACCTTTGTACGCCGCCAAAAATTTTTTAAGATACTGGCTTGTATTCAATCGAATAGCGCGTCACAAGATGTTTGCATTTTGATTGTTGTTTAGTAAAAAAAGATTTTTGAACAAAATTACTATCGAAAACGCAATTATCTGGAATTTGACAAAACATAGCCAACAGACAGTTGGAAAAGGGACAGTGAAGAGAACCCATGGAAAGGCAAAAAATGGTTCAAAATTTGAAATAAAATTATATGGACTGTAAACTCTTTTGAGTTGCAAAAACAATTTATGACTGAAACTTTTTGATAAAATTAATTCAATTTGAGAAAACAGAATCAGTAGGTAAAGTTTTTATTCCGCTGAAAAAACTGACAGTTTGCACTGAAACTAAAGTCGGTCACATTGTTTGTGTCATATACTCATTTTTTGTTCGATAGTGGAGTTTGTTTTCCTTTTAACAAAGGAAATAAACTGAACTTAAAAAAAATCAAAAATCAAATTTGAGCTTGGTTGAAACAGAAAATTTTTCCTGAAAACAAAAAAATAATAATTCATGATTCATGGCCAATTTAAGCATTTTTACTTTGTATAGCGACTCATAAAAATTGAAGCTTCGTGTGCATTTCGAAAAAACTATTCGTTTGAATTACAGACAACAGAAGTTTAGAAACGAGTAAAATATACAAATTAACAAAAAATACTAACAAAAAAAAACAGATAGCCTTAAGGCTCTGTGAATGTTTAGAGGATTTTTTGATAAAACTAACCAAAAAACTGAATCAATAGGTGAAGTTTTGATTTCGCTGGGAAATTCGATAAATAAATTCCATTTTTGAAATTCGAAGGCGATCACGTTTTTCGTAATACTTTCTTTCACTGTTCGATAAGGATGTATAAAAGAAAAAGAATTCAATTTAGAAAAAAAAATCAGAAATCAAGCCGCGAAATAGTAAATTTGAGCTTGAATAAAAAATCATCGCGATCAATAAATCATCCACCTGCAGATGAGGAAAACTGGCCGGAATAATTTGTTAAGTCTTTGAAACTAAAAACTGATAGTTTCATAGGTGGTAGCTCTGATGATTAGTAAATTTTGTGGATCAATTGAGCAATCTCCCCCCCCCCCCCTTAATGACCAATTGAGCTATCTCCTCCCCCCCCCCCCCCAGCAAAAACGAATAAACTCTACAAAAAGACGTCAGTAAACGCAAGTAGATGGATGATGTGTTTATAGCACGCAATCAATTGACCAACTGAAGTTTATCTTACATAAGTATCGAGAAAAACTTTGAAAAAAACCGAAATTTATGAAAAAAAAAATATTTTTTTTTTGCAAAATTTTGTTTAGGCGACCATAACCTCATCGAAGAAAGCAATTTACCAGGGTTGGTGCTCTAGCCTTGTATCTGAATAGCAAAAATGGTTCTCCGCAGCACCTTAATATTGTTCGCAAAATTTTTTTGTCATGTTAAGATAGGAAAAAAAGTCGCTTTTTATGGCTGTTTTATTGATTCTTTTTTCAATCCGAATGAAACTTTTGAGCTTTGATATTGTAAATTTTGGCTTTCCACAGTCGTTGGAAAATATGTTTTATGATTTCATGTCATTCAAACTATTTTCAAGTGGTTATAAACATGTCTCAAGTACCTATTGAGCTATCTCCCCCCACGCGAGAATGGGGTGGGGGGGGGGGGGGGAGATTGCTCAATGATCCAATTTTGTCAAAAAAGCAAATTGAAAACAGGCATTTTTGGGAGTGAAACCTGAATGTGCGTTTAATTTTTTCCACAGTGTAACACATCTAGGCCTAGTATAAACTGCATTAAAACGTGTCAACGTGAACATGAGAACAAATTCTTACTTCGTTTTGTACATGCAAAATGCCATGAAAGCAATTTTTGGACGTTTTTATTTTTTATTGTTCCGAGGGGGTTTGGAAGTGGAAAAGAGCAATTTTTTTAAAAGTTGCTAAACATCTGCAAAAAATGTTCAGCGTAATTTATGATTTCATCATCTCTTTATTTCATGGTTTCATCATCTCTTCAGGTACTGTGAGGTTTTTGATTGAGTTCTACCTTAAATCTCCCTGGTGACTTTCAATTTTAACCAAAACACGGAAGAGAGACATTGGTTGAGGTGTCTGGAAAAGAACTTTCGCATACTTTTTTTTTCCTTTTTTGCACGCTGGTATCATGTCATTCCCTGTGTAGGTTTGATGAGGTGCAAAAAATTGAATGAACAGGATTAATTAAGAGGGCAATCTGCAAACTTGAACAACTTTGCTAACATATATCTCAACAAAGCTTCGACGTCACAAACGAAATCTT